TGAGGCACCACTGTAAGTTGATTTTGTGTTGCAGTTTGGGCACTCGGGCTCAAAAAGGTTCACCATCACTGTTATATATCATAGTCTCATTTCTCCCTCATCACATATCTGCAAACCTTAACTTGCAGATTACTTCTCCTACAATGAACTTTCTCTATGTGTCAGTCCCTCCTTCAACAAAACTTCAAACTGAAATTGATATTTTTGTGGAACTTGTAAAGTGTGTAAGACAAGCAAGTGAAGGTCAGTATAGATAGTTATAACCTTGAAGACCAAAAGGCTGCTCTTCCTTGTGCTTGAGTTGAGAATAGTAATTAACTGCATCCAGATGGCGTGATTGCAGAGGAACATGTTCCCTACTTCACCTCTATTGTGATAAAGCTGCAGAGTCTGTGGAGCTAGAGCATGCCAGTGTAGCCATTTGGCAGTCACTCAAAAATATTCTTGCAATCAGTTATATGAACAGCATCCTCCCACACTCATATTGCTACACATAACGCCTTCTCTGTTACAGCTTTGGAATATTTCACTTAGTTTATCTTCCTCCACCTCTCTGAAAAGTGGGCTCTACTTCTTTGCAGTAACTTTTCTGGAAATGGTAATATGGCTCCAAGAGGACAGGACATGCATAGTATTTTTGGCCAAGATGCCATAGCTATATGGGCTGGTGTCTCGTTTCCCCCCCTATTGCTCCTTTTTGTGGTAGAAAGATGAGAGAGCAGCCTGTAAGATGTTAACATAATGGCAAAGGACAGGTTCTGTAGTATAAATAACCCCCAGATAGCATGATTCCAAATATAGTTATATTTAAAACATCATCGTCTAGGTCAGTTTTTACTATTTAAATTTTTTAAAGCTCCTTTATAGCTCTTTAGTTTAAACAAAACTATTCAAAGGGAAATTCCAAAAGTTGATTGAGTGTTGCTGAACTGAGAGGAAAAGCATGCTTGTTGCTGAACTTGCAACTTGGGGGTCCTCATTTAACAATATTTAAACATACTAAACTCTACTAGACAAACTCACTGCAGTCTGCTAAACGGTGCACATGCAAGACGACTTCAGTTTACTTTGTAACAGATGTTGATGGCTGGATCCAGGCATGCAGAGTCAATCTGGCACAATGTTGGTTACTTCCACTTGTATAAAGGCAGATTGTTATGCATGCTTCTGGGGACTGTTGAAATGTATTCCCTTCTTAACCCACTGGTGAAGACACACAAACCTTGTTAATTATTAAAAACGTATTTCGCCTGTTCTCCATTGCATGAGCTGGGAAACTAAAGATGCACCTGTGGGTCCGGCCCCTTCCTTTTAACAGCTGATTCCTGAAGTCCTTTATTTTGGGGGGACTGAGGTTCTACGGCAAGGAGCCCGTGCTGTGTGTGGAGGCTCACTGGGTGATGTAGAAGCCTAGATAATCAAACAGCATGATTCTGTCAGTGTAATAAGTTTACTGTTGTAGAAATTCAGCTTGGATATGTAGAGAGCTGCTGGGCTGGCCTACTGGAAACATTGTGGAGGGAGTGGAATCTTCCCATTCTTCCTCTCCGCTCCCTCCATGAACACACAGGGAACAAGCAAATTAATTCTTCATTTCTCTGAAATTATGAAGGTATATTGAAAAGTCTTTGTGTTGATTTTTTTATTCTCCAGAATTCAAACTGTAGAGCATCTACTGGAAACATTGTGGAGGGAGTGGAATCTTCCCATTCTTCCTCTCCGCTCCCTCCATGAATACATAGGGACCAAGCAAATCAATTCTTCATTTCTCTGAAATTATGAAGGTATATTGAAAAGTCTTTGTGTTGATTTTTTTATTCTCCAGAATTCAAACTGTAGAGCATTAGATACCTTTTGATGTATCCACATACTTCCTTGGTGTTACAGTTATGAAGTAGTATAATTAAAAATTGCAGCCCTGGATATCCTTCCTTCTCAGTTCTTGGAATTGGAAAAGGTAAAGAAAATTGTAGGAAGGACACCCCTCTCTTGTATAGCTCTTGCAGATTTTAACCAAGAAAAAAGAGACTATTGTAGGTGAACCATGATACAGCTCTTATAAAACATTCTAAGTATAATTTTAGGAAGCAAGATAGCCTCAAATTTGTATTTTTACACATAGTATTCAGTTCTGGCTCAGTAAATCTCAGGTGGTTGTCTCCTATAGTAAGCTATGGAAATAAACTGAGATCTCCAGAACAGCATGCATGGTTTGCTATTTTGAGGAGATTCTAATGTTTTATACTTGTTCTTTCAAGAGTGGGAGGTAGGATTGCAAATTCTAGCATGAATAAAGTGATGGTGCAATAGGTCTATTTAAATAAAGGTGTGGCTGCTTTGTTGTGAGGCTTTGACTGGTAAAGCATATGTATGCTTGTTTGGTGACTTCCACCAATGACAATTGTAAAATCTTGTATTGCTTATGCATCAGCTTTGTTCATTTCAAGAGCAATGAGAGAAGAGGAAGAACTGCACCCTCTTACTGTCAAATATTGAGTGATTTGTTCCCTCCTCCAAGATCTGATGTGAATATGAAAAAAAAAATTGCTCACTAAGTAGTAGACACATATAGCTGATAGGAAATGGTCTGGGTGCACACATACTTTCCATGTTTTTTTGCTGTCCACCTCTGAGTTGACTCATTCAGTTAGGTTGTCACTGCCACTGTCCAGTGCCAATAAGCATTGGTATCCTAGTAGTCAGTCTCACTACTGCAGTCTGCTAAACGGTGCACATGCAAGACGACTTCAGTTTACTTTGTAACAGATGTTGATGGCTGGATCCAGGCATGCAGAGTCAATCTGGCACAATGTTGGTTACTTCCACTTGTATAAAGGCAGATTGTTATGCATGCTTCTGGGGACTGTTGAAATGTATTCCCTTCTTAACCCACTGGTGAAGACACAAAAACCTTGTTAATTATTTAAAATGTATTTCGCCTGTTCTCCATTGCATGAGCTGGGAAACTAAAGATGCACCTGTGGGTCCGGCCCCTTCCTTTTAACAGCTGATTCCTGAAGTCCTTTATTTTGGGGGGACTGAGGTTCTACGGCAAGGAGCCCGTGCTGTGTGTGGAGGCTCACTGGGTGATGTAGAAGCCTAGATAATCAAACAGCATGATTCTGTCAGTGTAATAAGTTTACTGTTGTAGAAATTCAGCTTGGATATGTAGAGAGCTGCTGGGCTGGCCTACTGGAAACATTGTGGAGGGAGTGGAATCTTCCCATTCTTCCTCTCCGCTCCCTCCATGAACACACAGGGAACAAGCAAATTAATTCTTCATTTCTCTGAAATTATGAAGGTATATTGAAAAGTCTTTGTGTTGATTTTTTTATTCTCCAGAATTCAAACTGTAGAGCATTAGATACCTTTTGATGTATCCACATACTTCCTTGGTGTTACAGTTATGAAGTAGTATAATTAAAAATTGCAGCCCTGGATATCCTTCCTTCTCAGTTCTTGGAATTGGAAAAGGTAAAGAAAATTGTAGGAAGGACACCCCTCTCTTGTATAGCTCTTGCAGATTTTAACCAAGAAAAAAGAGACTATTGTAGGTGAACCATGATACAGCTCTTATAAAACATTCTAAGTATAATTTTAGGAAGCAAGATAGCCTCAAATTTGTATTTTTACACATAGTATTCAGTTCTGGCTCAGTAAATCTCAGGTGGTTGTCTCCTATAGTAAGCTATGGAAATAAACTGAGATCTCCAGAACAGCATGCATGGTTTGCTATTTTGAGGAGATTCTAATGTTTTATACTTGTTCTTTCAAGAGTGGGAGGTAGGATTGCAAATTCTAGCATGAATAAAGTGATGGTGCAATAGGTCTATTTAAATAAAGGTGCAGCTGCTTTGTTGTGAGGCTTTGACTGGTAAAGCATATGTATGCTTGTTTGGTGACTTCCACCAATGACAATTGTAAAATCTTGTATTGCTTATGCATCAGCTTTGTTCATTTCAAGAGCAATGAGAGAAGAGGAAGAACTGCACCCTCTTACTGTCAAATATTGAGTGATTTGTTCCCTCCTCCAAGATCTGATGTGAATATGAAAAAAAAAATTGCTCACTAAGTAGTAGACACATATAGCTGATAGGAAATGGTCTGGGTGCACACATACTTTCCATGTTTTTTTGCTGTCCACCTCTGAGTTGACTCATTCAGTTAGGTTGTCACTGCCACTGTCCAGTGCCAATAAGCATTGGTATCCTAGTAGTCAGTCTCACTGAAGCAGGTTCTCAGATATTGGAGATGAGCCATACTTTATGGTAGTATCATGTGCTTTACATGAGGAATGTTCCAGAATCAAAGGCCAGCATTTCCGTGTAAATATTCTTGGTTTGCGTGACTGAGAATGTCCTCTCTCTAGAGAACCCTAGAGAACTCCCTGCCAATTAAGAGGAAAGTAGGCAGACTAGTGTAGGTTTGTCTGTGGTCCAGTACAGCATATGCAGCCTCATATGTGAATCTTCGATCGAGGCAGTTATGTCATGGCTGGAAACCGGAGTGTAGTTAAAAAGGAAATCACTTAACAGAATGTGCCATGGCTTCCAACTGGGTTTTCATAAGCAAGAAGGTCACACACCTACTGTAACCAACAAATGGTTATTCTCAATTAAATTATTTGGTTGTTGGCAGATTTCGTGCAAGTTCAACAAATAGAGCAAAATGTATCATGCTATTTACTGGCCTGTTGTTTCTCCTTGTAAGATAGAGCTACTATAATTTTCAGGATTTTGTCTTCCTCTTTAAAAGATGTTGCCCGCACAGTGAGAGGAAGCCTCACAAAAACAAGTACTTTCACCCTTCCCTAGCTTTTCACTCAGCTCCACCTGGTGTGACTATGTAGCATAAAATTTGTTGAATTAATTTGTCTTTTGCAGGTGCTCAGTTCCTCTGCATGCACATATGTGCTTATCTGCATTCACGTTTAACACATTCTTTGTTCAGTCACTTGAAAAGGCTGTTACTCATCTTTCTGCACGATTTTTCTCTTTTAGATTTCAGACAGCGATGGGGCTGACAATTCAACTCAGGAAGATGAAGGGTTCATGGGGATGCTGCCTCTTCTCCAAGCCCACCATGCAATGGAGAGAATGGAAGAGTTTGTATGTAAGGTAAGAGGATGAAAAGCAGAGCCTGCCAGGTACTTGTAAGAGGTACTTGTAAGCGTCGTGCAACTGGGAGGTCTGGTGGCTAGCAGTGCATAGACGTCTGGCAAGAAAGAGTGAAGTCATAGTGGGTGGCTGTCAAGGAATTCTCTTGGCTTGGCTGATGCTGCCACGCTGTGTGCCTGTAGATAGGAGGGATGAATATCAAGCTTCCCATAATTGGATGAATTAGAAAGTTTAGCACGATGGGGATTACATGTTGAAATGTGGGATTAAACATGATGGTACAACTGTTGAGTTGCTTTTTGGAAACATCTATGGAAGTCCTAGTTGAATAATTCGCTCTGCTTCTGCTGTTTCTGGGTCAAAGAGCTTTAATTTACAGGGTCACCTCCCCCTCACCTCTTTCAAGCCATGCAAATCTTTGTTTTCAGATTACTGATTGTCTCCCTTTTGTAGCAGCCTATTTGTATCTACCATCCAATTGAAAAAAAGCAAGTTCTATTGAAATGCCACCCCAGGCAAATCCATTGTGAACTGTGTAAATATTACTGGTCTTGACTTTCCTTCCATAATTTAAAGGGAAATAGTTTATATTGGTGCCTGGCAATTGGAACTAATTTTAAAATTAGAACTTGAAACAGGCTTTCTGAGGTTTTTTTAGTTGTTATTTGCCCATTGTTAGGAGGAAAATGCTGGAAACATTAGATTTCCATACACTTCCCACAAATCTATTTCCAGAGTACAGAATTGGTAGTATACAGATTTTTTATTAACCTATTCATGATTTTTAAACAGATATATTTCTAACATTGCTTTGGACTCTTTGGGTCTGGTTATCATTGCCTTTTTGGGGTAACTGGGTGTGTGTCTTACAGGAGACTACATTCCTAATGAGCACACATGTGAAACATTTGTTGTATTCACACTTGATTTTTAAACTTAAATAATAATAGATTGCTACAAAATGGTGTGGCTGAAGACATTTATTCATTCTTTCCCTAAAGATGTTCTTCATTTTCAGCAGAAGTGTAGTTTTGGTCCTGGTGAGTTATTTAGTATTTATGAAGCATTTTAAATAATTTCAATTGAAGTAAATACTCTAGAATAGGGATGAGCAGAAGATAGACAAGAGTTTACTGGCAGATCTCAGGTTAACTTCAAGTACATCACCAAGGATTTCTGGGGGGGCCCTTCCTCCAGCTCAGGCTATTCACCACTGCCCAGGCCACTGAAATGAGGAATGTTTGGAAGAGAACCAGAAATGACCTGTTGTGTGACAAGACTCTGAGCTTTGTTGTGGTACTAACAACAGATTCCTGGGCTAGGATTAGGCTGGATCAAATAATGATTTAAATCAAATTGATTTAAATAATGATTTAAACCACAATTTTTTTTAAAAAAAATATATTTTTAAAAGAATTAATTTGTATCTACCCTAGTTAGGACACATTCAGAAGTCCTATTTCCAAATTTGAAAGCCATGTATTCGCAGAGGCTTTCACGGCCAGGATCTAATGGTTGTTGTGGGTTTTTCGGGCTCTAAAGAGCCCCTCGGCTGTGGAACACACTCCCCACTGAAATTCGGCTGGCACCCTCGCTGGGTGCTTTTAAAAGCCAACTAAAAACCTGGTTATTCAAACAGGCCTTCCCCCCAGTCAACTAAGTTATTTTTTCTTTCCTTTTCTTCTGTTTTTTTGAGTTTTAGCCATCCTGAATAATATTGCTTATAATTATTGTATTATATATGTTATTTATATGTTCTTTTAATTTGTTTTAGCCTATGTAAGCCGCCCCGAGTAGACGTTGTCTAGAGGGGCGGGGTAAAAATCAAATAAATAAATAAAATAAATAAAATAAAGAGCCCGAAAAACCCATAACAACCATTTGAAAGCTATGGTTGCCCACTTTTCTGAGCCAAAGTTGTTGGGTCTCCGTTCAGGTAAATCTAGAGTAATTTCTGTAAGCTTGCTGTCAGCCCACAGTACCGGTGTCTGGTCACTGTGCTTATAGTCATAGGCTGATCAAGTGAATGAATGTGGGTGGCAAAGAGAGCTGAATTTTTTGGCAGCTATGTTCTTGCTTTAACGCTAGATATTGTTCTGTTAAACATGTTATTAAAAAGTGTTTAATGTCTTCTGTCTAGAAAAAAAGGAAGGGATGGGCAATCCTGCTCTGCAGGTATATAAGACAGGTCAAGGTATATATTTGGAGTACCACTATATGTACCACTTATTGTCAGGAATCCCTTGGCAGGTCTGCTGACTGCACTGTTCCAACTGACAAAAATGAATGGCAGTTTTGTCTGTCTTCTCTCCCTATGTTAGATGTCCCAGTGAGCTGTTTATCAGAGGTCCTGAACTCAGACTATTCCGCTTTAGTCAAGAGCTTGTCAGCGTCTTGGCTCTGATGGTGTTAGTCTGTCCTTGTAATTGGAACTCTGCTTTAAAATTAGGTAACAAAATTGTTGTGGATCACGTGGACAAGTGCGAGGCTAAATCATTCTCTAGAATGTTATTCCCCTTTCCCTTTCATATTTTGAAATTATGTCATGACTCATGAGCTTTTTGGAATGTTTGGAATGTTGCCAAAGCAGAATCTAATGCAGCCCTTTATCACTTCCTTCAGGTGTGGGAGGGTCGATGGCGTGTCATCCCCTTTGACGTCTTGCCGGACTGGCTCAAGGACAATGACTACCTGTTGCATGGTCACCGGCCACCCATGCCTTCCTTCCGGGCTTGCTTCAAAAGCATTTTCAGAATACATACAGAGACTGGCAACATTTGGACACACCTACTAGGTATCAAGATTGACATAAATATTAAAAGTGTACTTGCATTTAATAGCCAATTCCAAGGTTTGTAAATGCAATTTGGTACTAGCTATTGTTTTTTTCACAAGACCAAAGTTTTGTATGGGAAGTCTGATGGGATTTCACACCATAGATAGCATAGGCTAGGAAACTGTGATCTTTAGGTGTATTGAAAATGACATGGCAGTTTTCCATATTTATACTCTGGCAGCTCTGATAATCCTGTTTTTTCCTTTGGTCTAGGGTGCGTTTTCTTTCTGTGTTTGGGAATCTTCTACATGTTCCGGCCAAACATGTCTTTTGTAGCACCTGTGCAGGAGAAAGTGGTAGTTGGATTGTTCTTTTTGGGAGCCATTCTCTGCCTCTCCTTCTCATGGCTGTTCCACACAGTTTACTGCCATTCAGAAGGCGTTGCAAGACTCTTCTCTAAGTAAGTATTGCAATGGCTTAGTGTGAACTTGAAGCCAGAAAGTCCCCTGTTGAAATCGGACATCTTTTAGGGATTCATTAGTAAAAGGGCTGAGCCTCAGATAGAAAGAGTAGTAGCTTCCCTAAGATCACTCATCTTGCAGTGCTGTTGTAAGAATTGCTGAGAAAATATTTGTGGAGTGCTTTATGAATTGAGAATGTGCCATGACAGATGATTAGCAGCTTCAAGAGCCAAGGTAGACAATTGCATGTAGCATATAAGACAGCATCTAACTTGCTGTCCCCTATGCTTATTGGGCTACAGCTCCCATTGTGGTTTGGAACTATGAGAATTGCATTCCAGCACATCTGGAGTGCTTTGTGGATGAAGGATGGTATAGATTTATGCTTCAGGAATTGATGGATGGTATCTGTTTCTCAACACACAAATTAACTGAATCATTGATGTTCTTGTCTATCCATGAGGCTTTTCTGACTTAAACATTTCTGTTTGGAAGTGGACCATTTTTATACATTCTGAGAAGAGATTGGCATGAGATTGTTGATCAGTTGAGTTATTTTTCCAAAAGGAGCCTGTTACATACCTAGTTTGGCATAAGTGATGTAGAAGCTCTGAAGTCACTGGGTGGGCTGCTTTAGACAAACAGGGCTTTCCTCTCTGAACCACCTTTCTTATTCTACCTTAGGCTGGACTATTCTGGCATTGCCCTCCTCATTATGGGCAGCTTTGTCCCATGGCTGTACTACTCTTTCTACTGCAACCCCCAGCCCTGTTTCATCTACTTGATTGTGATCTGTGTCCTGGGCATCGCAGCCATCATTGTTTCCCAGTGGGACAGGTTTGCCACCCCTCAGTATCGAGGAGTACGAGCAGGTGAGACATTTGGGGTAGGTTGTGAAATGATTGTTCTGGACAGAAACATTACAGGATTTTGTCTGAAATTTGCATTGGTCAAATTAGGACAAGATTTGAAACAACTCAGGTGTTGCTATATGTAAAACTTAACAAACTGTATATTTTTCATATGTTTGACATCACTAAACTGTCAGGCATATTTGAATAATATCAGATTTTAAAGAGGTAGGCATGGTTGTCTCTGTGGCAGAGCCTTGTGGTACTTCAAAGACAACCAGAATACCACAAAATTTCTGTTTTTCACTACCCTTACAGATAGAGTGCGCTGAAGTTCTCGTGCATATTCTGGCAATGTTGGCTGAGCAAATTGGAAAGACAGGTGGAGAAATAACTGTGCAAAGGATTCATTCAAAAGGGAAAAAACAGTGCATCTTCTAGTGCAGTAATTTTCAAACTGTGTGCTATGAGAACTGTTAGCATGGTTAAGAAAGTAAAGTCTTCTGAGCGTAAAAGTCATTAATGTGGCCTCCCACATTTCTATGTATTCCCTTGTTCTTTCCTTTCTGCCATTCAGTCTTCATGGAGAAGTCTTGCCATACCTCTATCAGTAGGACACTTAAATTTGTCAGTCCAGAGAGGCAGCAGAATTTTCTGTCCTCAGGGGACCCTGCCTACTAGATTTATTTGAACCCCTGCATTAGTGTTATGTTCTAGTTATGCTCAGAGTAGTGATTCTTGCAAGAGAAGAGCTTTTTTGAGGATCAGTAATCCATGTTTGTCCCCTTCATGGATTGTTGCCTTGTCGTGGCAAAGGGGCTTGTGTAATTCAGAGAAGCTATGGGCTATGCCATGCAGAGACACCCAAGATGGACAGGTCATAGTGGAGAGTTCTGACTAAACGCATTCCACGTGGAGCAGGAACTGGCAAGCCACTCCAGTATCTTTGACAAGAAAACCGCAAGAACAGAAACAAAAGGCTAAAAGATAAGACGCTGGAAGATGAGCCCCTCAGGTCAGAAGGTGTCCAACATTCTACTGAGGAAGAACAGAGGGCAAGTAGCTCCAGAGCTAATGAAGTGGTTGGGCCAAAGCTTAAAGGATGCTCAGCTGTGGACGTTCCTAGAAGTCAAAGGAAAGTATGATGCTGCAAAGAATACTGCATAGGAACCTGGAATGTAAGATCTATGAACCTTGGTAAACTGGATGTGGTCAAACAGGAGATGGCAAGAATAAACATTGACATCCTGGGCATCAGTGAACTAAAATGGACGGGAATGGGCAAATTCAATTCAGATGATTACCATATCTACTATTGTGGGCAAAAATCCCAGAGAAGAAATGGAGTAGCCCTCATAGTCAACAAAAGAGTGGGAGAAAGCTATACTGGAATATATTCTCGAAAATCATAGAATGATTTCAATACGAATCCGGACGGGAATGGGCAAATTCAATTCAGATGATTACCATATCTACTATTGTGGGCAAAAATCCCAGAGAAGAAATGGAGTAGCCCTCATAGTCAACAAAAGAGTGGGAGAAAGCTATACTGGAATATATTCTCGAAAATCATAGAATGATTTCAATACGAATCCAAGGCAGACTTTTCAACATCACAGTCATCCAAGTTTATGCACCAACCACCAATGCTGAAGAGGCTGAAATTGACCAATTCTATGAAGTCCTGCAACACCTTCTAGAACTGAAATGAAAGATGTTCTTCTCATTATAGGGGACTGGAATGCTAAAGTAGGGAGTCAAGAGATAAAAGGAACAACAGGTAAGTTTGGCCTTGGAGTCCAAAGGAAGCAGGGCAAAGGCTAATAGAGTTTTGTCAAGAGAACAAGCTGGTCATCACAAACACTCTTTTCCAACAACACAAGAGGCGACTCTACAAATGGATATCACCAGATGGGCAATACCGAAATCAGAGTGATTATGTTCTCTGGTACCAAAGATGGAGAAGCTCTATAGGGTCAGCAAAAACAAGACCTGGAGCTTATTGTGGCTCTGACCATCAGCTTCTTATAGCAAAGTTCAAGCTCAAACTGAAGAAAGTAGGAAAAACCACTGGGCTAGTCAGGTATAATCTAAACTAAATCCCTTATGAATACACAGTGGAAGTGAAGAGCAGATTTAAGGAACTCGATTTGGTGGACAGAGTGCCCGAAGAACTATGGATGAAAGCTTGTAACATTGTACAGGAGACAGCAACAAAAACCATCGCAAAGAAAAGGAAATGCAAGAAAGCAAAGTGGCTGTGTAACGAGGCCTTAGAAA